GTTCCCCTCCCCTCTCGACCTGTGTGGTTGTGTGATTCTTGGCTATTTTAACTACTTGTATTGTGTTCTATGTTCCCTCTTCCCCTTTAAGTTGTTCGCCGCCCTGAGTCCCTCCCGGAAAAGGGTGGCATATAAATAAAACAAATCTAAATCTAAATCTAACTTGTCATGAGATGGGATGCTTTATAAATTTGATAAATTAATATTGAAATCTCCTCCACTTTCCCTTACAGGATATTTCAGGCAGGCCTGGAGGTAGAGCGTCTTTATGTCAGGAATTTCTTCCATCACTACCATTCCAGGAGGGGAATGTGGAATCGACGCGTGCTACAGATCTGATACATTTTTTCCACTTATGAATCCCATTTTGGGTTTTCTCTGGAGACATCACTAAGAAGATGCTCATTCTCTTTTCCACAGTGATCACAGCATGAATTTTGAGGCTTAGATGAAAAAGACAAAAAGACCAAATGGAGAGTTTTCATTTAACCACTGGAAAAAAACTGACAAGAGAATGGCCACATGAACACACGACAATTGTGTTTTCCACAGTTGTCTGTCCAAATAGTTGATTTTTGGAGTGTGAAAAACTTTCTCACCAGCATATCACAATCTTCACTCACAGAAGAGTCTCTTTATGGTGCCTTGTTCGTATGGACTTTTTTTAAAAAAAACAAAACAAAACAAAAACAAAGAGTGCTTTCAATTCATTCATAGCAAAACTTTTAAAAAGCAGTGGATTATTAAATGGATTAATACAGACTTCCATGATGTCTAAAATCCTGAAGGATCTCCAATATTTGAAGGACAAATTGTCTATCACCAAAAAAAATTTTTTTTTGTGAATGACTGCAAACAGAAAGATGCCGGAACTGAAACGAAATGCCTTAAATAGTGTGTTACAAGAGGATTATACACCCCCCCTCTTTTTAAAGACCCTCTTTTTTTGAGGTAATTTAAGAACTCAAAAAACTTAAAATCCATGCCTTTGGACTAAAGTCAATCAATTGTTTGATCTTTGCATGGCACTGTTCAACCTATGCAAGATATATTAAGGAATTTCTCTTCCTACTTTCTTTTTTTTGTATTCTTATATTCTACTCAGGTAATGGGAAAGAAACATCTGCTTAAGAAAAATGGATATATTTTTCCTTCTCTGACCACCCACTGCTTCTTTGTCTCAATCAACAGGATATTTGGTGGAGTGATAGTCAAACTGCATCTGAAATCTTGCTGGGATCTGAATTATAATTGGCAGAAGACACTTGAGTCAATTTGATAATCATAAGAGTGATACTGCCAATAGGAATATGACTGGTCTTCCTCGGTTGACACTGGGGAAATTGATCGACACTTCAGTCCCAGACATCAGTACTCAGAGCAAGATCCATAGACTTCAACGGCTTTAATATACTTTTTTTTAATTTATTGTGCATTCTTACTATTTTTAGTTGGTTTCACTTTTTTATTTTAATGTATTATAAAGCATTCTAAGAAAATTCTGTTTTTGAAGGGCAAGATATGATTGTTTATAAAATTATTTAATAAGTTATACTTTTGGACTGAGCTCTCGGATAGAAAAGTGATTTGCATCCATGTCAGAAAAGGAAGCCAGTCAGTCAATTTCCTGATGGCAAATTTTATAGGAAGCCCGATGTGGAGCCCCTATTTGGAAAGTTTATGATCCCCTTAGATCCGTGTTTTTCAACCTTAGCAACTTTAAGGGTTCCACCACAAATCCGCGATAGACTAAAGCACGCTCAATGAAAGCGCGTACATGATGTCATCACAGCGCGACGAAAACAGCACGCTGTGAACGGTAAATTTAAAATTAACGCAAAAACCTTACCCTAACCCCCCCAAACCTAACCCTAAACCTAACCCTAAACCTAACGCTAAACCCAACACTAACCCTTAACCTAACGCTAAACCC